AAATAAATGACAACGCGCTGATTATGTTCCGTCATTCCCAGTTTAAGAGTTTTAGGCTATACACTCATATGTGCATAGATCCTTGAAGCCTAACAGTTTGCTTGCAATATTGGTGCTATTGTTGTGGTTTAGCATTGTTTAATGATTCATAGTATATGTAAAGTTACCTATGTCCTCCATAGTGTAAGAGACTACCATAGTCGTACGTCATTCCGTAGTTGTCGTTAGTCTGCGGTGTCTCTTTATTGAACTGATCCAGCCAGTCTGCCTAGAAATATCAAGTATTTCTGTTATATTCATGCATTAGAAATTTTTTCGGCTTCATCATAGAGACCATGTTTGGTGTTGAGCTGACTTTTGAAACTATTGCATTGAACTAATGCACGCTCAGAGGCTTATTATGTGCATTTACTAGACAGTATTCGCTATGGTTGAGGACATAAATATTAGTCAATGATGACTTGGGCAAGATTTGCTTCAAGTGACCTTACATCGGAAGGTTGCAGATGAATTGGGGAGGATGTCCGCTTTTTCTTCAAATTTGTTAGTATTCACCGTTAAGTACATACCTTGATATTAACGGTGTTTACTGTGATGAATTGATCGCGATCGTAACGAGACATGGTGTGGAAGAATCCAAGAGCGTGACCAATTTCGTGAGCAGCAGTGGAGATTGACTCACAACCTGATCCCAGCGACAGCTTCTGTTCACCACCGAGTTTACCCACGAACGACCAGCAGCCGTTTTCCGGGAATACCATTATTCGGTCTTCGGCTGAAGTGAGAGCCTTTCAGTAGCGGTTGGTTGGGTTGGTGATACTTTCGGTTTCGTAAGAAATCTGTATCAAAAAGCTCAACTATCTTCAAATTACTCACCCATGCGATTCTCAGCAAAATTGATGCAGGTATCCTTTTCCCACCATTTTGCTCCCTTCAAAAATGCACTTCGCATCTCTCTGCCTGTAATATTGATACTGCGCTTTTATCTGAATTATAGAATATCAACGGACCAAAGGAACACTTACTGGCAAGTGGGTGGAAATAATAGTTCACTCCTTCTGACCATAATGTATTCGGATATCTTCGATCCTTGAATGCCTGACGTTTCGTACGATTACCACCGTTAGCCTGTTCTTCTATACCCGCGGCTATTTCTTCAGCTTGTGTCCTGTATTGATGCTAGATGTGAACTTTGTAATGTGTGTTTGCATAGAATATTCCACGTACATTGTCAGAACCACGTCCCCTTGATACAGATCTTCAGCAACATGGCTATTGCCATTGACCTCCTCAATGGAGTCTCCCT